AAAAAATATCCCCAACAGCTAAGAATCAATTTCCTGCTTAAACAGAGTCAGGCAAACACAGGAAACTCGATGCCAGTGCAGGAGTGCTATTAATGCATTAACAGCCTCAATAAATACCTTTTACAGGTGYGAGAATCCCTGTGTTGGCCAATCGGAAAAATATATATTTCCTACTTAAAAATCAGACTTTTTTGGCCACTACTATTTTTTCCTGTCGATTTGGGGTTTTATTGAGGCACAGCAAGCAGTTGCCTCATTTTATTTATTTTTTTTTTTCTAATGAAATAAGCTGGAAAGCCTCAGAGGCACCACTCACATTTTGGCTAACAGAATTTGTCGTTTTGACAGAAAAACGACGCCAAAAAGGCAGAAARCAGCGGGCCCACTCCCCTCCAGTGCTTCAAATCCCAAATCCTGGGAGGAACCCTGACCCAGCCCAGAAAGCTGCAGAGGAGAATCAGGAAAATGCRAAAATAAACAAAGATGTGGCATCAACTCAGAGCGTTTTGGGTTCTGGAGGAGCAGAGGAAGATCTCAGTGCTCAGCTGAGCGAAAGCCTCCGTTGGGATGGGATTTTGGAGGATCCTGTGGCAGAGGAGGAGAGGCTGCGTGTTTATAGGGAGAACAGGAGGAAAAGGTAYGAATTGTACCTCCAGGCATTCCAGGATGGCGGGGGAAGAAGATTCCAGAAGTAATTTCCTGGGAGAGCAAAGCTGAATTCAGCAGAATTGAGTGCTGAAAGAACCTCTGGGCTATCCCAGGGGTGCCATCCAAAATCCCAATAATTTCTGTGGCTGGGCAGCAATTCCTCACTGTCTGTGCCTGTAGGAAATTTCTATTTTAAAAATCAAACCAACCTGATAAAATACCAATTCAACTCAGACTGCACCAACAATTAGAAGTTCTCATTTCCACCCTGTTTATTGCTGCTGGTTTATTTCCCAATAACACTCCTGAAYTTCCCAGATATTCACACTGCAGGTTTGTGAGCAGATGAAGGAGMAGACACCTTGTCTGGAGGCTGAAACCATTTCCAGGCACAGGCACTTACCTTCCCCAGAACTGGTAAAGTTTCTGCAAAACTGCTGCGAAAATCTTCTGGTAGAAAGCTGCAAAATCAGGGTGGGAATCCAACCCTCCCCTCTTGTTTTTTGATCCAGCTGTTGGGTTCAGAGTTTTATTTTGTTACAAAAATTCATTATCTCAGCCCCTCAGATGTGACATTTTGGAGAAGCGCAGCACGCGTGGAAGGGAATCAGCACATCCAAAACAACGGGTTATGCTTTTAAATTTGAATTTAAAATCACACTGAACAGATATTGCACTCCTCTCCTTTAAATCCTCACAGCAAAAGAACATTTTTCATACAGAATGTTACAGGAAGACTCAAGGAAAACCACCCAGACCTCACCGAAGGAAGAATTTCAAAGTTTGGTCACACTTCAGAAAGCTTCCCTGAAAGACACTGATTTTATTTTTTTAAATTATTTTTTATTATATTTAAATGCTGATTTTTAAAGTTTTTCCCTTAATGGCTCTTCAAATAGACCCTTTTACAGGGAATTCCTGTTTCTATTCAGCTTTTCTTCTGGTTACTACTTTAAAACTCCAGGATTCCCAAAAGCTCTCAGAGCCTTTTGCAGAAGCAGCAGCTCCCCAGACCCCGATAATGTCATTAAACACAACTCCAGAGCTTCCATAACCAGATGAACAATAAAAAGTAAGCAAAAAAAAAAAAAAAAATCCCATTAGGAATTAATTAACCGATGTTCAATTGCATCCATTCGTGCTCTGCCAGAGTCACTAACAAAATCAGCAGGGCCTGCAAAATGTGGGAAGGTTAAAGGAACAGATTAAAGCATCCAGAAAAACACCACAGAATTTCTTTCAGCATAAAAGTTTATAATAATTATGTTCATTTTATAAATTTTATAAATTTTAATTATAAATTTTAAYAACCCACTCTAGCCTTACATTTATGTTGCGTTTACCCATGTAGCATTTGAGCGTCTACATTTTAAAAATAAATCCCCACCTGGTGAAATTCACGTTCTATTTGGAAGGGATTTGTTTTTCACTTGTAGGATTCATTGAAATCCGTACCAGAAACTCTCTTTAAAAGTAAAACTGTACCAGATGAACGACTCCAGCACATCACAAAAAGATTTTCAGCTGTCTCCAGAGCGCTTTTTTGATGTTTTACTAAACTGACAAAGCCACAACATTTGGTGCTGGTTTGGTTTTTAATATAGACAGTTTTATGTAGAAAACACCCTCCTAGCATATGTAAACAACAAATAGAAGAGAAAGGAGGGGAGCTGGGATTGGCAGGAAATATTATGCATTTATTTCTAAGTAACTGCCACAATAAACACCGAAAAAAAAGCTTTGAAGGAGAAATAAAGAGACTTCCCCACAGGATGGTTTTTCAGATCGTTTATTACCAATAAAGTAAAAGACAAATTGAAAATCAGAAGGAAAAGGGTGGGAAACGTCACAGACACCAGGACACTTGCACAGAGCTGATCAGAGCTTTGCAAATGTCAGAATATAAATAATTTAAAAGGCATCTCCACCAATTAAAATACTCTTGAGAGGTACATAATTAAGTTTGCTCGCTTTATAAAAATCAGGTGTTTTATCCTAAAACTGGAGTGTGGGAGGGGATTTAGTGGGGTATTTTGCTTCTAACTAGGAACGACTGAYGGCTACAACTTGCACCAGAATCCTCTCAGATCTGCTCCCAGGAGGATGTTCCATTCTGGGCTAATAAATTAGTAAAAAACCCTAACAATAACAGAAAAAAAACYCCAAATCACACAATCTCAAGGCTTCCTTCCTGCTGCACTGTTCGGCTCCCACTCCTCCCAGCTCCCTGGGATGCACTTCCACATCATCCATCACACTTGCACGAACGCCCAGCACGGCTCAAGGACAGCCCAGAACTCACCCCTGGGGCTGTGCGTGGCCAAAGCCTCTCTCAGAGCTGCCCCGGGGCTGGTGCTGCACACCCGCACCTCAGAGGGGCTTTGGAACACGTGGAAAAGCCATTTCTGGGTCTGTGGGGTGTCTCTGAGTGACTGCACCCCACAAAAAAAACAGCCCAGCCTGCGTTCCCCAGAGCAGATGCTCTCCACACACAGGGAAAGAAAATCTGGGAAAAGAAGGAAACTTCCCCACYTTGTTTCCATCAAAGCACGGGATAAACTAACACAAACAGGATTTTATAAAATCTGAAGCGACTCCCTTTGGTCCCCAAACCCACCGAGCACTCAAGGAGAGGCTTTTCAGCCCCATCCCAGTGACACCCCGACCCCAAGGACCCAAAACTGTGGGTTTTGCCGTGTCCCAAAAACCTGCCCRTCCTTTGCCACTGTTCCCACCTCCTCCCAGCCCCACCCTGACAGCGTCTGAACCCCCAGCACCTCCTTTGYCCTCCTGGGTCCCTGCACCCAGCACTTCACCCAAACCTCTCTTTGGTTACAGCTCACACAGTGCACGCAGCCAGCGCGGGTACAAAACAAGGCACTCGTGGTTTTCCACCTCCACATCACCAAGATCCGACTTTCCAGCRGCACAGGGATGATTTTTGGCCTGGAATTCTGTGTGACAAGCCCTGCAGAGACGCTGGTGTGTCACACAGACCACAGAGGATTCCTCCTCACCCCAAGAACGGGAATCACACGATCCTTTCTCTGCTGCAAGAGCAGCAGCTCATCTGCTCTCCTCAGAACCCCCCTTCCCCCCAGTTTAGACTTCTTCATGACATGAACGTTGTGTGTCACCATTTTCATGCTTGTTAAACGCAGAACTCCGGGTTTTCCTTCTTTTAGCCTTTTCCAGCAATTTCCAGGAGAAAACGGGATCTAAACTGAAGTGGTTGACAGCTCTGTGTGGAACCTGRCGAGGCAGAGCTGCCCTGATTTCCTGCACATCACCACGAGGCACCAAAGGCATCCAGGCTCCATCCATCCCACACTCTTCCTTACCTGTCAACCTCTCCTCGGGGAAAGCTTTTCCCGTTATTTTCAACCGCGGGGAAGGGGGAGGTGAAGAGAAATCCCTTAACTAAGCCAGGTTCCCCCAAGAAATCCACACTCGGGCCGTTCTGACGCTCGGAAGCGGGAGTTAGGAGCGGAGAGAGAGAGGGTCAGCGCCCGCCCGGCGAGGGACGGAGCGGAGTGGGGCGAGCGCTCTCAGCAGCCGTCGGGGCCGGGATGCTCCGAGGTGTCCAACTCCACGCTGGACAGGAACCTGCGGGCGGCCTTGCGGCAGTTGTAGTCCAGCGTGGTGGTGTAGACAGTCTTGGCGTGCTTGGGGAAGATGATGGTGGTGCTGGTGAAGCGGCGGGGCCGGCGGCGCGGCTCGAAGCGCACCTCGGCGCGGTAGCGGCGCCACGAGCAGTCGGGCACGCACAGCACGGTCTGGCTGCACGAAGCCACGCTCAGCCCCACGGGCAGGTAGACGTCGTCGATGAAGCGTTTCTCMGAGTCGTAGCGCACCGAGGAGGTGTACCTGTAAGGCAGGGGAGGGGTCAGCTCCGCCCGCGGCTTTGGGGGGATCTCCAGCGCGACCGGCCGCTGGTGTTTGAGGCGTTTTTAGGGGATGAGGAAGGAGCATTCCCGGGATTATCGCTGCCTAGCCCGGCTGCCAGCGCTTCCTCTGAGCCCCGAGCTCTGGGGAGGTGCAAACCTCCTGCGAACTGCCAGCCCCGGAGCTTTGAGCAGCGCTGGGGCTCAGCACAGGAACATCCCGGAGGAGCCGCGGAATTCCGCGTTATCTCCTGCCAGGAATCACGGGAGCGCTCTGCTATCGCCCCTGGCACAGGCACTGCCCAGAGACAAACTCCTGAAGGCTCAGCTGGCAGGAAAACAAAGCTTGCACACCCCAAATCCTCTGCATTGCGAAAGGAAGTTTTCATCTCCTTCACGCTGTGACAGCTCTGGGGCGGCTTTTCCTTTAACTGCCTCCAGCTCCAGCCACAGCTCAGGCTCCTTCCCCACTCCAGGACAGAACTCCCTGCACTAGAACAGAATTCCCTGCCCCAGGACACAATTCCCTGCACCAGGACACAATTCCCCACTCCAGGACAGAATTCCCCCACTCCAGGACAGAATTCCCTGCCCCAGGACACAATTCCCTACCCCAGGACACAATTCCCTACCCCAGGACACAATTCCCTGCACCAGGACACAATTCCCTGCACCAGGACACAATTCTCCCTCCCCTCCCCTGCACTAGGCTTCCGTTTGATTTTATCAGCCTCCCTCTAATTGCACAGTCATCAACCCAGAGCCTTCTTTTCTCATTACTGCAGATTGTGGTGTTCAAAGGAATAATTCACCAGGCTGGGAAGGGATGCAGAGCATTAAAAAAAAATAATTATGTGCTCCTCTGACTGTTGCTGTTTCTTTTAGTTCACRCAAGCAGCCACAGCTGTTAAGGTGGAAAGAGCTTATTACAAAACCATGAGGTTGCAAGAGCAGAATTTCTGCAAGATCTTTGAAGCTCTTCCCCTCCTGGTTTATCAGTTAAAAGGCAACATTTTGGAGCAGCACAAGGAGAGTAAAATATAAGAAAGTCTTCCTAGGGGGGAAAAAAAAAAAAAAAAAAGCCAAACCAAGAAAACAACCATTGGGTGGGATTAAAAAAGGCTGAACACTCCTTGGGCCTGTGCAAATGTCCAGGTCCAGGAATGTACAGCAGCGGTGAACAATGGCTCTGCAAATAAATTAAATTGACTCACAGGCACTGATAAGGCCTAACTGCTCCTTTATGAGCTCCCTCCTTCCAAAGGGGACGACTGGATCACGACATTTACCTGATTTCCTTCGGTGGTAAAGGGTCAAACTCAACTCCTTCTCCAAAGGATAAAGGACACAACCTTGGAGGGCAGCTGGAGAGAACGGGGCTGGGGGAGAACACAGAACTCTGCAAAAAAAAGCAAAGTATTTCATGTTACCATTTTGTTGTAACTTCTACATTACAATTCCGTACATTTCCAGGAAAATGAATTTTTTTATAGCTCCATATGGAGCTGCTGAGGTTCACATTTAAGAGCAGGGGGATCTGCTGGTCCAAGATGTGCCTACAGGTGCATCCTTCASGCCTGACTCCACACTGGTTCAAAGCATCCAAAAGGCGCCCAGGGGCATTTTTTGAAGGCAAGGTCCCAACTTCAGGAGGTTAATTCAAAGGAACCATTCTGGGAAATGAGAGAGGAGTGGTGCAGGGCAGTGTGTGCCTGTATTAACCCACACTCAAGTCATAACCAACATTTTACCGGTGTGAGAGAGCTCTCTCCTCGCTGGGTTCACCCACAGAGCGCAGCAGGAAATTCTCACCGGGACCTCACCCTGAGCCACCTCCTCGCTCCGCCCTGGCGTGAAATCCAACCTAATTCACACCCAACGTGTTGGGAAGGATTAACATTCCCGCTGAGCGGTGATTCACGGGCTGTCCCTCCCCGGGCTCCTCTCCTGGGTACCCAGCACATCCCAAGGAAASCAGAGCAGCCCTGAAGGGATGGAACCCAACCCGTGCGTGCTTTGAAGCCACCTCCGCACGTGTGTTCACCATCAAGGGGGCTGTGAGCATCTTTCCCTCCCATGGCCTTTCCAATTTCACAGCAGCGCCCCTGCAGAAAAAGGATTTTCCCTCTAAATCTGCAGTTTCCAAAGTATTTGTACCAGCAGCTCAACATCCAAGAAACTATTCGGTGGAAAAACAAATCAACTGAAACCATGGTTTATACACAATAAAGTTACTGCTCCGGGGCACTCTGGAATAACGGGAGTTCCCTTTCCACAGGGATTTTTCAAAGACGCGCTGCGATGCCGTCCCAACCCCGGCCTGGGACAGGAGGGAGAGGAGCTTCCCTTTCACCAAAAAGGGTGAAAAGCTTCCCTTTCACCAAAAAGGCTTTGTAAAAACCCCGGTCAGCCCCGGTTCCCGGCGGGATCCTTCCCTCCCGGTGCAGCCCCGTTCCGGGACACGACAGCGCCCGGAGCGCTCGGCGACAACGGCGGGCGGTGGTTCCAGCCCATTGCACGCCGGCCAGCCCCGGTAACCCCCGCGGTTTTCCACCCTCCTTCCTTCCTTCCTTTCCCCCGGGGAGCCCCGAGCCGCCGCTCCGGGGTCCGAAGGGCAGCGGCTCCTCCGGGGCCCCGCACCTGCACCGAGTCGGGCGGCGGCAGCGGCGGGAGCGCGGAGCTGCCGGTCCCGCGGCCCCGGAGGATCCCGGAGGATCTCACGGGTCCCGGCAGCGCACGGAGGAGCGGTACTCACCGCAGCCGAGGGCACGGGCTGCTCGGGCTCCGGGAGCCCGTTGGCGGCGGCGCGGTCGGGGCTGCCCGAGGAGAGCAGCCAGGGCGGCGGGGCCGGGCCGGGGCTGGGGGGCAGCCCGGAGTCGGGGCTGTCGAGCCCGGAATCGCCCCGCTTCCTCATGTCCGGGAGGTCGGGCACCTCCCGCAGGCTGAGCCGCCCCACCATGGCCGAGCCGCCGCTGCTGCCCCGGGCCGGCCCTGCCCGCGCTGCGCTCCCTGCGCCGG